AAATTATGACATGAGTGTACATCTTACCTATATTGTCATTTGCCCCCCTCTATACAATCGTACCTATAGTTAATGTCGTCGAATCACGCAGGAGCTCTTGGAACTTGAAGAAAACACTTCTGGTGTAGAACTTAGATGCTTGCTCCTAAATTTTAGACCTCCCCCACAGCGATGGATTTGTTGTTTCACCTTTGGCTGCTTCTCAATACTCCATCTCAATCCTTATTTCCATTATGTATTCATACTGGGTAAGGAACTACAACACTAAGTCCTGTGGGTGCACCATTTTCTTGAATAATGCATTCATACTCTCAGATCTCCCTGTTGTGCTTATGAAGGGAAAGAAGCATTTCCTGAAATATGCAGGTGCCCACATAGACTTGGTTAAAGACATGTTCTGGAAGTGTTCGTTGGCATGCATATCATACTTAACCTCTATGTTATGCCACAACGTTTCGAACTCTTCCGGTGACTCGGTGAAGTTGATGCAATAGTCAAACTCGTCTGCAAAATCTAGGTTGTTCCTGATTAACCAACCAAACTTTTCACAAGCTTTGCTGACCACATAAAACTTGCAGCACCTGTGTGTTGCACAAGGGAATACCTGTGTTATTGTAGCTTTCATGGCCCTATCCTGGTCACAGTCATGATGTTGGTTGGTGCCATCCCTCCCATTGCAGCCTTGAGTGTTTGCAGCACCAACACAAAAGGTTTCAGTAGTCTCATCCGGAAGCAAAGCACAACCCAGTAGGATGCTTTGGGTGTGATTGTTGATCCCAACAATCTGCATAAAGGGCATGTTGTACCTGTTAGTGCAGAACATTGTGTCAAAGAATATGCAATCCCTGAAGCACTTGTACAACTCCCTTGATTTGCCATCAACCCAAAACAACCCCCTCACTGCATTCTCAACATCTAGCTTGACAGCATAGAAGAAGCTAGGGCTCACGACTTGCAACTTTTGGAAGTACTCTAGGACATCACCATGTCTTTGTACCGTAGTCCTGCCCTCAAGTGTGTCCTCATGGTGGAGACGTCCTTACTGTTGAATGTTAGGTTTCCCACCCCTCCATGAAAGTCTCCTAGCACCGACATGACCTGCATGGTGGATATGTTTCAATGGTGCAATGTCTTCCACAGCTCATAATCTGCCCATGATATCCGTCTGTGGGACCGCAGTTGCTTTACCTTGCCCTTTATCTTCACCATAGGGTGTGTGTGCTATGCCAGAAACACCATGACCCTCCACCTTCCCTCAAGCAGACCCACAACCATGTGTGCCTTACAATCTACCTTCTTCAGTGTGCTCCGCTTCCTTGTTGCAGTAGTCATTACGGTTGTTGCGCTTTTCTTCATGGATGCGGTCGTTGCTGATGATGATGCATTACTTGATGCACTGTCTTCCTTTTCACTAGGTGTAATCCTTGCATGCGAACACTCAAACTCCTTCCTTATCAACTGCTTACTCACATGGTTGTTTCTCGATGAGCCTACCCTGATACTGATCCCATCTTGAATGCATAAGCATTGTACACCCTCCTTGCTTTATCTAGTGTATCAAACTCTATTCCTTCAAATGGAACCACCTGCTGGGAGCTTACAACGTCTCTTCTTCTTCTTCTTCTTCTTCTTCTTCTTCTTCTTCGTACACCACCTTGTCATCAATTATATCCACCACAACAACCTCAAATGGCTGACCTTCTGCCCCATGAGAAAAACTCTAATCAAGATTAGGGCCAACAGAACCCTGCATTGCAAATGTGTTGTCAGATTACACATGCAGTCAACAGCAAATAATTATTCTGAAGGAAACAAACAAATTCAGTTAGAGTGTGCCCGGAAACATACTTCTGAAACATAGGCAGCCATGTTAGCGCTTGAAGTTGTAGCAATCTGATGATGTCCAGTGACGGTATTTCTCCCATCAATCATGCCCTCCTGCAAGTTTCAAAGTGATGCAAATTTGGTTTAGTTCACATTTTGTTACAGATGTGAAACCACAAAATAGGGGTATCATAGAACACACAGGCACCTAGAATTCTTGTTGCAGTTCAACCTGGTTTAGTGTTTTAGTAGTAATGTAACACATGTTTTAGTAGTGGTAAAATAGAGCATCTAATCATGGTGTATACAGGCACCCATAATTCTTGTTGTAGTGGACTCTGGTAAGTGTTTCAGTAGTATCGTAACACACGTTTTAGTAGTAAAACAGAGCATCTAGTCATGGTATACACAGGCACCTAGAATTCTTGTTGCAGTGGACTCTGGTAAGTGTTTTAGTAGTATTGTAACACACGTTTTAGTAGTAAAACAGAGCATCTACTGCAAAAAGTATGCTTCCAAATCGCCGATGTTCAGAGATTTGTAGTCTGAAACAACACAACTCAAGCAAATTGCAACATGGGGTCATAGATGTACATCTTAGATGTTGTTTTGAAGAAGAAGGGTTCGTCTCCACCACCTCCTTGCCCCTGGCAATTGCAACACAAGACTCCAATCCACCGTAGACGCCGCTTGAGCCCTCCTTGCATCCCTCTAACCATAGATCTGCCTCACGGCCCTCAACAATCGGCGGGGACAACGCCCCGCGGGGTACTCCGCGTTGGAGAGGAGATGGGACATCGGGGGAACAGGGGCGGTGAGGATGTGACGCACCTAGCGGGGCATGGCGGGGGATGGACGACGCGGCAGGAGGATGGGATGGCGGCGCGGTGGGAGGACGGGCCGCGCGCGAGCCGAAGGACGGGCCGCTCTCTGTCCGTATTGTATCTGAATCGAACGGATTGGTTAGGATCGAAACGTTACGTGGACCTAGGTACGTCCGGACGCGCCCCTGAAGCCGGGCGTCCGGGCGCTAGGTGCATCATTTCTAAAACTCAAAAATTGGATGGGAGGAGAAAGAACTAGGTGGGAGAGAGGAGAAAATTATCAAATGCTTATTTTTAGGGAGTTTAGATGTATAATTTTTTAAGAATTATTTTTTTCTTAAAAAAGTAGAATTAGGGAATTTTTTTTAGAGTTTTCAGAACTTCCTCACTTTTTTTCGATGGATGGATTGACACGGTCGTCTCACCGGTCACCACAAATAGCAAGTTCAGATAATATAAAATGGTTTGGCGCGGCCCCGAGCGAAGGCAGGCACCCCTACAATCTTAGCCGGCACCCCCGCCAAGAATGGCACGCCTCGCCGCCGTGGCCGTGGCCCTCGCAGCCATCGCCGCGGTGGCCGGCGCCCACGAGACGTACTACGCGTCCGTGGAGAACCACCTTCCGGCGCTGGGCATGAAGCTGGCGTGCCATGCGATGGGCGGGTTCCTGACGGAGCTCAGCGTGGTGCCGCGCGGCCGCGTGCCCCACGGCAGGGCCGGGCGCCGCGTCGCCGAGATGCTGGTGGAGCGCGGGCAGCACGGGTGGGTGCGCTGCAACTGGGCGTACGCGGGCAACTACGTCGCCGGGATCTCGGTACTGGACTCGCGGTGGCCCGAGGCACGGCGGTGCCAGGACCCCGCCGGCCAAGGCCTGTGCCGCGTCGTCTTCGAGAACGACGCCGTGGTCCTCAAGACGCCCGACCGCGGCGAGCGCGTGATCGGGGACCTCCCCGTCAAGCGCTGCCGGCGGCACTGGATGCTGTTCAGCACCGGGTGCACGTACCCCGACCACCGCTACCCATACGCCGGCCGGCGACTCGGGAGCGCCTTCGAATACTTCGCCGTCTGATCTCATTCAGTGCTCGCTTGTATGTATGAGGGGTGCCAACCATTTGGGAAGTCAAATTTTGTAGATTTTACAAAGAGCTTCCAATACAATACAAATTACAAAGACATATATGCGTCACGACTCAAGAGATTATTAGAGACGAGCGACGTAATTCGAACGCATGAAACTGAGTTCAATTTCGCACTCGCCAAATCAACAGCCTTCAACTTGAATCTACACCAGTGTTTTAAATCACCGGCTAAGGCATTTAACGATCTGGCTATATTGGTGTTTTAAATCACCGGCAGCAAATAACTGGCTAGCGGCAGCTAACAACTAAATTGTACATAGAAAAAATAGCTATCAAACAGCTATAATCGGAGATAGCGGCAACTATAGCCGGAATTTAGATCTGTGATCTATATATGTGAACTCTAAACTCAGAGCTTCCCAGAACTCTTAATTACCTTAAATCTGGTTGGGCTTTTTGTTCAAATCGAACCATCTTGAGCCAAGAGATCAAGACCTTCTTTTCTTTAACATGAAATTGAATGCTTTATTTTAACTAAACTGAAAAAAGGTAAAGGAAAAGCAGGTAGCAGATCGTCAACCAGAGTGTCACGGAAGAAGGATCCCTGCTGCCTATCAAATGATCCAGGAAGGAAGGTGCTGCTGCTGCTGTGCATAATCGTTGGGTTTGCTATTTCCTCTGTATATATAAGTATGACATCATTCAGAACTTATCAGTCTGGCTTTTCAGCCATGGTACTGTATTTTTCTCTCACAACAAATCAGCTTCAGCCAGCTTATCAGCCGTAGAAACCATCAGCCGAACTACTCAATGGTTTTCCAAAGCAAGGTAAGTTTACTTCCAGTGAAAGTTGTGCAAAATGCTTATGTATGAAAGAACTTGAGCAACATTTCGGTTAAACAGGAAGCAACTGAATCAGGGCTATTGCATTTGCATTCTTCAGTAACAACTTTGAGTCTTCGCGTATGAACAGCATCGACATTCAATGGGTTATAGGTGTATTATGAAACGGTTCAACACGAAGCAGAAATGAGTGAGAACTCTGTTCCATTGCACTTCTCTGTTCTGTAACTCGATAGACAGTCACCATTTTGTGACATTCTATCTGTGAATTATCAATGATCCCATGCAACCCGCCTTAATTCTGTTGACAACTTGTCATTCAGCTAAAAGTAACAAATAAATTGTTACCCGATCACCTTCATATGGACATCCAAGGTTTCTAACCATTACATCTGTTCGAATTCTCAGGCTTACATTTGCCTTCATTTTGTCAATTTCCATGTGATGCTGCAACCACGCTTGCCTGTATTCATAGACAAGAAATGCACATTAAAGAACAGAGTTTGCTACTCCAGCATCATTGAAGGTATGAATCAATACCTGATTGATTTTCTGCTGGAAGACAATGTGGACTTCTCTCCGGAGAATTTCAACATCCAGAGCGTACTCCCTTTGTTCCTCATGAGATGTCAACTCATCCAATTGCACCCTCAATGTATTCAGGGAATCATCCAGGCCTGAAAACTTCTGAAGATCTGTAGCATCAGCTGACGTAAGCTGCAGCAGACTCCTAACAGCTAACAAAGCCTACATGTATGATGACCAAAACAAGTTTGATCAGGAAAACTAGCATCTCATGCCTTCATGGCAAACGTAAGAAAATAGTATTCACTTAGATGATATTTTGGAGTGTACCTTCTCCTGGAGGTCAAGGTCAGGCACTGATGATATCATCTCAACTACTGATTTTATGAAAAGGTGGTTGCTTAAGGATGGAGCTTGTGACCTCCCTGTATTTAGCTGAAAGTCAGCTATATATGCCAGTAAAGAGACAACCTTTTTCTGAAGCCGAACATTAGTTCTAGTGGTTGACAGTATATGCTGCAAACAAACAACGCATTGGTACACTTCAACCTCGCTTTTGCCTAGATGTTCAATATATGATTTCCTTTTTCTACCTGCAACATTGCATAGCCATTTTCTGAAAGGAACAGCTCCTGACCATGTTCATTGTCCCTAATCAAAGAGGATATAGCATACAGTGCCTTTGCAACTTCTGGTGCAGAACTGGAATAACCCATCTTCACTAATCTTTCCAAAGCTCCATAACCAAGGATCTAGCCAAGTACAAAGAGTTGTGTAAATACTGATACCCCATAGAATGATGCATTGAAAGAATGGGAAATAGTTTCTTCACTAAGCTGTAAGGATAGAAGTAAAAGACAGAGGAATCACCATAGAAAATAGTTGGAGACGTGTTAAGCTGATAGTACCTGGTTTTGAACAAGAAAATTGTTCTGACTAGCTTTGCCCAGCACCCATGCTGAAGTAGTTCTTATTCCTTCATCTGCATTGCTAAGTTCCCAAATCAACGGAAGAAGGCCTCCAAGTTTGTCAAGATCTGAAATTAAATTGATAAAATCATGTCAACATAAGAATCTAGTATAGAAAAAAAGTATAAATTCTTGGTTTGCACAAACTGATAAACAAGCATAGAAATGAAGTACTTATCTTTATGAAACAGGGAATGGAGACTTGAAAACACAGTTTTAACTTTCAGAACAAATAACTATGCAACAGGTACATGGATCATCTTAACATGCATCAATTACAGGTGAATAACTAAACTGGCATACTCTCTCTTGTGGACAAGAGTCAAAAAGGGAGCATCTATTCTCTGTAACTACAAGCTCATCCATGCATTGATTTGCTGAAGATGAGGTTTCGAGCATATGTTTATATTGACAAACAAGTACATAATTTACCATTAGCATTGTCGATGGGCTCAACCAGAACTAAAAGCTCTTGCAGTGCACGGTGGCGGTCCTCCAGCAAAACAGAGGAATTATTTAAGTCAGCGATAGCAACCTTCATCAACTCAGCATCTGATGGCACCTTTAACTTCTCCATCAGCTCCTGCAGGGCAGTTATTTGGATGAAGGTATTTGCATTTTACATCATCCAAACGTTGGCCTGAACTCTGAAGATCAACTTCTATGAGCAACAGAAATAGGAGTTCTTGTTCAAGAAACTCGTAACTTAGTGTAAACTACTAAAACTTAAAGTGAACTCTAAGCTTGGATGAACAAATTTTCCATCAGCCCTGCACCAATCTCTTCACCTTAATCTCCATCTGTTTCTTGAGTAATTCCTCTGCCGATAGCCTCTCCAATTCCGCAGCCTTTTCTCTCAACTTATCCGGATCAGAGTTCCCTGCATCAGCAGCAGTTTTGGAGTCAATTTGCCCCTACTTGAATGACAATGTAGGCTAATAAGCATTGTTGGCAAAATTTTTGATATAAAAAATGACCGAAATTGTTAATATTTTGGGTTCAGATCGGCGAATTCACCCGACAAATGAGGAAGGAACCCGCAAAGTCCCAGGCCCATACCAATCGCCCACTGCAGCATGCTGTCGAGCGAGGCGAACTCGCGCCCGTCGTCCCCGGTCAGTGAACCCTCTCCACCGCCGCCAGCGCGCGCTTCGGCCTCGGCGAGAATCTGCGCCTCGTCCTTGCCCGTGGCCCACTGCCTCGGCTCCCCGAGCAACGACGATCGGTTCCTCCCCTTCTCCACCGCCGCTGCCTCCGTCGGAGAGAATCGTGGGAAGAAGAGAAGCAGAGCGGCGGCCGAGATGGTGGCGAGAAGCGTCGGGAAGCGACAGCGGCGAGGCTGCTTGGCTCCCGCCATGGCCGCGAGAGGGGATCAGAGTGAAGTGGAGGGGACGCAACGACGCAACGCGACGCGACGCCACGCCTTGCCTTGAGAGGAACTGCAGGAAGGTATCGGGTTCGAACCGTGTAGAAATTTTCCGGGTGGTTTTTGCATTTATATAGGTTTCGGTGGTCTTAGTTAAGCCTTGTTTAGATCTTAAATTTTTACAACCTGAACACTGTAGCATGTTTTGTTTGTATTTGACAAATTTTGTCTGATCATGGATTAACTAGGCTCAAAAGATTCATCTCGTGATTTACAACCAAACTGTATAATTAGTTATTTTTTTATCTACATTTAATATTTCATACATACGTCAAAAAATTAACGTGACGAAGAGAGAGTGAAAAAACTTAAAATTTGAAGATGATCTAAACAAGGCCTTAGTTGGAATCTTTCGAATGAACCGTTTTTACATAAATACAGAGATCGTGACATACGACAGTAACGACACCCTGTAGACTGTAGTAGAGATGGCCCATGCGTGTCCCACCGTTCTGTTTTTCCTCGTGCTGAATCCTTCTCGTCAGTCAAACAGTCAAAACACACGTCGACTCTGATGAGAAACAAATAAGAACTATTTCTCCAGTTACATTAGAAGAAGGAATGAGCCAAAAAATTTGATCTCTGTTCAATCCTAGTCTACTCTCCCACCAGAATTAAGTAAAATCACTCTACCAAAGAATCAAAGAATATGGCTACAAAATTTAGGAGTAGAACTCTGTCCAAATAGACTCTAACCTATTTGTATGGGATCATGAGATCTACGATCTTTTGTTACATTCTTCTTAACAGCTGTTAGAATAAACAGAATCCCTATAAAAAATATTTGCAATATAGGTATACAAGAGGACTAGTCTCCTGAAAAAAAAAGGAGTATTTCATGAAGATATCAAGATTCTGAAACTACCACATGCACATCACCTCTTTTTTTCTTACATGTTCTCACCCATCTTCTCTCTCCCCTTCACACATCGCTTTCACCCTACATCTTTTTATCTTTAAATGCTTCTCTCTTTATCTATCTATTTAATGGTTCCGTACTTTTTGTCAGCCAAGCTTTGACATGTTTGCAAGCTACTATCATGCTGAGTTGGATGTTGTTGTCAGGAGGATAAACGTAAGACTACAAGCCAAGCATTGGGCTAATCTAAAATATGAGACATAAGATAGGTGCTTGTGTAGGGCGCTCTTAAGCTGCATAACTATACGCAAACAACTGATGTCTAGTTGCCTACAGCCTGTTCGTTTGCTCGTAAACAATCGTAAATTTCTAACCGGGAACAGTGTTTTTCTCTCACACCAAATCAGCCAGCAGTAAATAATCCACGATACGATACGGCGAACAGGCCAATAGCCCTAGGTGCATTACATAAGTTTGTGTTTAGTTACCTGCACTAGGGGTGATGTCGCATAGTTGAATACAAAGAATATATTTGTTTATATGCATTGGGGAGCATGTGCACACTTAACTAGTGACCTTATCATCCTTGAGATGTCATTTTAGCTCTATAGATGTTCACTCCTACTTTATTTCCTATATATTCTCATTGCCCCTGTCATATGAAACGTGTAACTGGATCTCACACAACATTGAACAGATCTAGCCTATTTGGAGCACAAGAATTTACATAGAAATTTTATAGAGATCGGATTAGTTTGACGATCTGTGCTGGCGTTGCCTGCGTCATGGTGCACCTGCTGAACAGCTGAAGTGGTGATGCAGCGCACCCGCTCCTTGGGCGTGGCCTCCGTCGCGGGGCCCGCGGCTCCCCTCCTTTCCTCGAGACCGTCGCATCGTACGCGCTGCAGTCCATCTCCACCAACCACGCACGGTGACTCCGACGCCGACCAGTGGGGCCTTCAAGGCCTGTTTGGGCAGCGACAGCTGATCGTTGCGCTCCATGTCGCGGCGACACGGTCCAAGCCCACGTCGGGATCCATCCGCCACCTGCCAGTGGGCTCCACACGCTCCTGCGGCCCGCATGTCAGATAGCCAGCTGCATTAAAGCCCTTCCTCACTGCAAATCTCGCGCACTGTCTCAGTCGACGCCACCAACAACGCCAGGCCTCCTCGCCAAGCCGGTGGAAACCTCGTGCTCTCCGCCGCCGCCGCCTCGGGCCCCTCGCCCGCCTCTTCCAGAGCACCAACTCTTCGGCGGATCATGCAGAGCGCGGCTGCTGTCGGGCTCGTCCGGCCATGCGCCGCGCGGCCGCTCCCCACCTACCCTAGCCCACGCCGCGGCGCCGGCCCGTGCATCGGCGGCACCCAGCCGCTCCTCACGCCCCGCGGCCTCCGCCTCTCCGCCCGCGCCGGCCTCGTGCCGGCTTCGCCGCTGGAGGAGGAGGAGAATCGGAGATGCAGGGCCGGCCGGCACGTGGCGGCGGCGGCCGGGAAGGTGGCGGCGGCTGAGGGGGCCGGAGAGGAAGCGGGAGGAGGGCTCGTCAAGACGCTGCAGCTGGGGGCGCTCTTCGGGCTCTGGTACCTCTTCAACATCTACTTCAACATCTACAACAAGCAGGTGAGCTGACTGACGAAAATCACTGGCGTCTCTCCCTGTCCCTGTGTTGGGGGGGACGTGTTGCATCCCTGATGCTCGAGCAGCCCAATTGCTGGCCTACCCTCTGGTTAGTCACCGCGCACTAGTGATTCGGTTCTGACCGACTAGAGCCAAGTGTGCAGATTGGTGGATCTAAGTGCTGGTGATTTTGATTATTTCGGTGCATGCGTGCAAAGGACAGATCCTTCTATTAGTTTGCAATTTCCTTAATCTAAAACTGAATCAAAGACAGAGTTTTCATTTCTCCTTTCATGCATGCCCTGCGTGCTGTGCTGAAAAGCGGCCCATGGATTGTTTATGTTTCTTCCATCCGGACATCTCCATTAGGTTAAGTGAAGAGCCAATTGGCCTTGACCTTTTCTCTTGAGAAATTTATGAATCAGTTATAACAGATATCTGTTTTGAACCTCATAATCTACTGAAACTAGATGTAGGCCATCCCACTTTCTGCGTGACTGCAAAAGTTAGCTCAAACCCATCATGATCTATAACTGATACAGGCTCCACATGTTGCACAGAAAGAAAACTTTGCCTTTGTTTCTTTTTCTCCATTTTAGATCTGCCTCATACCACACATTTCTAGGCTACATTTTGCTTAAATTTGTAAAATACGGCCAAGTCTAAGTAGTATCTACATTGTAGTTTTAACCGTACTCAATAACGATTACAATAAAGTTGATGCTTGTTTCGTATATCTGTAGATACGAAGTATATGCTACTTTTTTTTTTAAAGCTGTTACAGAGCATCCATCTTTTTAAGGATCTGTTATATGCACTGCAGACTGCACCCATGTGATTGTTTTCAACTTTAAGTCCTGATACATACTTACATAGGTGTTCCATATCTGAGGTTAATTTTTTAGACTACCATTTCTCCATAGTTTTAAGGGTTTTAAGTTTTTAACAGGCTGCATTCACAAGACAATCTTGCTTCTATATTTCCAGTGTTTTGACATCCCACCCAGATAGCCCTTATGTTTTCTGGTGGCTATGTCAAGGCAATATTTTACTGACAAATGTCGGTTTGCAACTAGTCTAAGAGAAATTTAAGTGTTGTATATTGGTAATTGTAGTCTTTCTTTATTCATTAATGTAGATTGTGTCACCTTTTAGTTAGTTTCCTTATTCGTGAGAAGCACTTGATGATAAACAACAGTTACCAGTAAATGATACTACTTTCTAAACTGTTCCTATGCTCTGCAGGTTCTGAAGGTTTTGCCATACCCTATAAACATCACAACGGTGCAGTTTACTGTTGGAAGTGCCATTGCTTTGTTCATGTGGATCACTGGTATCCTTAAAAGGCCAAAGATTTCTGGTGCCCAGGTGAACATTTAGTTTTGTCGGGCAAACTTTTAGTATAAACATAATGCATCAAAATTAATGTTGGTGCTGTTCTTGTTTCCCAGCTTTTTGCTATCCTTCCTCTAGCTATTGTCCATACCATGGGCAATCTTTTCACAAACATGAGCCTTGGAAAGGTTGCAGTGTCATTTACACATACTATCAAGGCCATGGAACCTTTCTTCTCTGTTCTCCTTTCAGCAATTTTCCTTGGTGAGGTAAGTCTTCTGTTCAACTCTGAAGCCTATAGTAACTACACAACTCTCTGCAATATGATAAAATCTTTCTTGCTTCTTGCTTTTTCTCTGACAAATGAGTGATTTTGCAGTTGCCTACGCCTTGGGTTGTGTTGTCTCTTCTTCCAATTGTTGGTGGTGTGGCATTGGCATCCCTTACTGAGGCCTCCTTCAACTGGTATGCAATATAGGCACCTTAGATTGAATACAAGCAAGTGTTAGGATGCTTGTTGTGCAAATTTCATTTATCCTTTTCTATTAATTTTATGTCTTCTGTTCTATTGCTTCATTCATCTGCCATATCTCAAAATTTAGTTTTACAATTGATCCAGCACTATTGTTTCTGTGTGTTTGCGTGCGCATACACCACCAGGAAGTTAAAAGCAATGGCTTTCTTGTTACCCATTTTATACTCATGTGTAACTTCGAAATTTTCAACACAGGGCTGGATTTTGGAGTGCAATGGCTTCAAATGTAACCTTCCAGTCAAGGAATGTGCTAAGCAAGAAACTTATGGTGAAGAAAGAGGTAGCTGAATTACTATTTTTAAATTTTATTGGGTAATCAAAGCAATCAACTACTCCCTGTGTTCTAAATTATAAGACATTTTGGCTTTTTTAGTTTCATAGCTTTTGCTACCTACGTAGATATAGGTTATGTCTAGATACATGGTAAAAACTAAATTTGAATATGCGTAATTGATTTGGAACGGACGGAGTAATTGATTTGTTAGTTTCAGTTTTTGATAGGTATATCTGTATATGCCTTCTATGTCGTGCCATTCAATTTGATTATATGCCTAACCCTCTTTATTTTCCTCACTTGTGAACAGGAA